CCCTCCTTGTTGACCCAGTAGAGCAAGTATGGAGCTACATACATTACAGTACAGTTTTTAAAGACAATCCATATTTACAAGTCCTCTTTGTGTAATAAAGTTTTTTTCTTAGAAAAAAAAACTGTTAAGATGTGTTTCATGGGGTGGGGGTGGGGGGCAACTTCATTTACAATCTAACAATACACCTATGAACTTTAGTTTTGGATCCATCATCAGTTTCAACATTGTTTATGCTGAATTTACTATTATGATTTATTGGTTGATTTCCAAATGGATAGTGGATGTTCTTAAATTTTATAATAACCCATTTATAAGAAACAGTTTTTATACCTTTACAGTAGGCCTACCCAGGAGCTGATCCAGGATTTCCTCACTGACAAACACAGTGGTATTTAAATCAAGACATTCTAATTAGTTTAAATACAGTATAAAAAGTAAAGGACTAAGTACTGAACCTTGTGGTGGGTTATAAGAAGGAAGGAGGCCAAGGACTAGTGAGTGTCAGAGCCACTAACCAGGACGAAACAACAAATATCCAATGTGTACCTCGGGAAGATAGCCACAACTAATCACGTTAAGGAGCAGATTTACAGATTCCCATAGGTTCACACAGAACCAGTGTGGAGCACGCTCACTTCTTCTGAAGTGTTGCTGTAATGCACACTTACACACCTCCTACTGTCATCAGTCATCAGCCCAACTGTTTCTCGTCGATCAGTCGTGTAGTTTAACAAACTTCGCAGGAAAAAAGATGGAAATGTTTAACCCAGAAAAGCCTGATGTAACACTAGCCCTACATTTTATTATTGTGTAGTAAACAGAGGCTCCCTCCATCAGGAGCAAATGACCCCCCCCCCCCCCTTTCTTCCACAGGACCCCTATGACAGTGGGAAGGAAAAGCTCCCTTTTAACAGGATTGTGGGATTCCTCTGTATTATTGCAGGGCCTCTACCTTACAATGTAAAGGGACTGTTGTTGTGATTTGGTGCTACATAGGTAAAATGTAATAAATTTAATCCTGTTTTTGTGTGTGGGTTTTTTGACCACTCAAAGCTTTTTCCAGAACCAAGAATGCCCAGTAAACCCAAAGCACTCGTGCTGGTTCCAAGGTGGTCCCAGTGCTGTGGGTTTCCTGTACCAGTCCATCAGATGTGCTGACCCTCTGATAGACTGTTTTCAGGTGAGATGGTGCTTTCGATGAGCCTCAGGCTATGTCCACACTAGCCCAGATAGATTTGAAAATGGCGTTTTTGTCGGAAAATGCTCCGCGTCCACA